AATCCAGCCATCACCGGTGAGAGGGAAAGTGAACACAGAAGGGAGTGGGGCTCCATTACAACAGGCTGGAAACCCTGTCTGGGAGTTCAGGCTTAATCCTGAGCAGTGGGAGGCCACCGAGGGGTTTAAGCAGGAGAGCCCTATGAATAGATTTGCATTTTAGAAAGATCATCTGTCTGCAGTTTGGAGAGAGGCAGAAGGGAGGCAGGGAGGTGGTTCCGAAGCCCCTTCCAGAGTTCAGGCAGAGGGTGATTGTGGCATTGGGGACTGTGATGTAGAGTTGACAGAGGTAGCCGGGTCAAGGGACTCATGCCTGTAATCCCAGCTCTTTAGGGGGCCGAGGTAGGTGGATCACGAGGTCAGGAGACCGAGATCATCCTGGCTAACACAATGAAACCCTGTTCTACTAAAAAAATACAAAAAACAAACAAACAAACAAACAATTAGCCTGGCATGGTGGCACGCACCTGTAGCCCCAGCTACTTGGGAGGCTGAGGCAGGAGAATCATGAACCCAAGAGGCAGAAGTTGCAGTGAGCTGAGAGCGCCACTGCACTCCAACCTGGGCGACAGAGTGAGACTCCGTCGTAAAAAAAAAAAAAGTTGGCAGAGGCTGAGAGATATTGAGGTGCTGAGGGCACAGGTCTTGGCATTATTTGATGTAAAGGATGAGGGAGAAGGAGGTGACGAGCCCATGTCACAGGTCTCTGGCTTGAGTACGCACGCAGGTGGTGGTGCTGTTTTCCGGGATGAGAGCATCGGACAAGCAGGTCTCAGGTCTGGTTGAGGGCGGGGAAGCATTAGAGAGTGAGCTCAGGTTTTTTCATACTAAGACTCAGTGCCTGCGAGACACACCAGGAGACATACTGATTGAGATTGACAGAAACAGAGAGGTTGAGACAAAAGCCAAAGGGACACCAGCATCGAAGGAAACCCTTCAAAAGAGACTGAGAAGGAAGAGACACAGAGGTAGGAGGAAAACCCAGGGAAGTGGGTAACCCAAGGCAGGACACCAAGTAAAATCAGGGCGGAAGAGCACTTCTTGGTTGTCCTGAGTCAGGAGGCTTGACAAGGGCAGTGTCCCAGGAGTTGGGGCTGGTGTGGGGAGGATCTAGATTGAGTTGACAAGTTGTCCAAGGTGAGAATGTGGAAGCAGTAAGTGAAGACCATGTCTGTCAAGAACTTCAGCCAGGAATAATGGAGGGAAAATAGAAGATTGAGTTTGGGGAGCAACAATCCTCAAAAGACAAAAGCCAAAGGGACACCAGCTCCCATTCCGCCCCACCCTCCCTTCGTGCCCTCCCTCCCTGCTTCTCTTTCAATGGGGGATCAAGGAAGGGGCCAGAGGAGCTGGAGCAGTTGGAGCCCCAGATTCAGGACGGAGAGGGAATGCTCCATAGGGGAAGATGTAGGGGAGGGGCTCCCACCCTGGGTGCCAAGAGGTGGAAGGGAAGGGGAAGATGCGTATGAGCCTGGGGTTGGCCTGGAGTTGGGAACGTCATCTACTCATCTTCCTAGCCTTGACTTGCTCCTGTGCACTGGGGCCAAACGCATTCCTGCCCACATGTGCCGCCTTTTCTCCCTGTCACCCTCTGCATCTGCTCAGCGCATTCCCCTTCTTCTCCTGGTGCTTCATTTCATCTTTAAATGCAAAGGCATATCCAGATTTTGTGGGACCCGAAGGGTACACAATTTGGGACAGTCTCTTTAAGAAAAAGAATGCTGAAATATATCACTTCGGCAAATCTTACAGTAATACACGGAGATGTGAACGCAGCTCTGTGGCCCTTCCTGGGATGTTGAAATGGATCCTTGTAAGCTAGGAAGCCTGAAGGTTAAGCTGCATTAGCTTTATGTTAAGTCTTCCTCTATTTAAATATGAAAATTATTCCCAAACTTCAAACTTCAACAACAACAAAATAAAACAAAGAAAGAACAAACACTTCCTCCTGAAGTTCCTCCCGTTGGAAAGCAGCAAGGAGAGCCTTAGTTTCCCCATCTGGAGACCGGAGCTAAGAGTCTCTATCTCCACATCCTGAGGATTCAATAAGGCAGCGTATGAGACAGAACCTGGCATAGTTCCCTTCCCGTAATCGGTGCTTACAAAATGATTGCTGAAGAAATAAAGGGATGTATGAACTTAACTCCCTTTCCTCATCTATCACTTTTCTGTTTTAAGGCAGGGTCTCACTGTGTCACCCAGACTGCAGTGCAGTGGTGCACTCATAGCTCACTGCAGCCTTGAACTCCTGGGTGGAAGTGATCCCCCCATATCGGCCTCTGGAGCAGCTGGGACTGCACGTGTGCACCACCACACCTGGCTAACTTCTGTTTTTTTTGTTTTGTTTTGTTTTGTTTTTTGCAGTAATGGGGTTTCACTATGTTGGCAGGTCTCAAACTCCTAGCTTAAGCGATCTTCCTGCCTTGGCTTCCCCAAGTGCTGGGACTACAAGAGCAAACCGCCGCACCCACCTTGCTTATCACTTTACCTTACCGTGAGTTACCTGCGTGCTCATCTTATCTTTCCCATTAGACTCCAAATACCTTGAGCATGTCTTGCTATTTTCGAGTCCTTCACAAGGTCTACCAGTGTGTCTTGCATACGGTGGGTATTCAATAAATTTATGGAATGAATGGATGGATGAATGAATGGTGAGTATAAATCACTTCATTAAGAGGGAAGTTCACTGTTAGGAGAGTTGCTTAGAAATTCGCCTAAATGAGTTTTCCAGTTGAGGCTATCAATTCTTGGTGTCCACGTTGGGGATTGGTTAACAAAAGAACAGGAAGGACTGTAGCTGTGTCTTAGCAGATAACACACATTTGGTTGAGGAAGCAGAATGTGGAGAAGTCAGGGCTGAGACTTCAACAGCATTCAGAGTTCAGCTGGTGATATTAGGAACTTTCAGCACGAGACAGTCTTTGGAGCGCTGCTCGGGCTACACATGATAAGTTAGAGTACCCCTAACCTAGGCAAGAGCTGTCAAGTACAATTCAGGAGGACAAGTCTAAAGAATATGTAGCATAATATGGGTATATTTCTTACTGGATGCATTTTGAATATATTGCCGCTGAGGGAGAGCTCATTTCCCAGAGATGCCCACATAGGGAAACCGCGTTTCTGTTTATTTCTCAAAGGGCTCTTGTGAAGATTAGATGAAAACATTGAAAAAGTGCTTTGTGGACTGTAAATGCCACGTAAATATTCTTTATTATCACTGTTATTATTGCGTTCCTGGCCTTATCTCTCTCCGTCCCCTCTCTTCTCAGACTCTATATCCCACCAGTTTCTCGAGTATCCTCATTCCCCAAACACGACTGTGTTCCTAGACTCCAGGGTAGCTTGTACCACGTGGTACGGGACACACGTGTGTGTCTGCCTGTTCCTCAGACTCATTTTCACCCCTCAGTCCTGAGCACGATTCCTGGCACAAAAGAGGAGCTTGGTAAATGTTTGCTGGATACAGACAGTGCTCTCAGATGACGAGGAATCGTTCCCATACCATTTCATCTGGCTCCGTCGGTGTCAGCTGACTTTGCCTGTGTGGTCTTCCTAAGGAAGGCAGGTCTAGTTTCCGAAATGCTAGACCCCTTTATTATTTCTACGACATCAAGACCGTACAAATTCCTTGTCACTCTACAAGTCTTGAAAAAAATGATCCTCCTGGAAATTCCAGAAAGCCAGGAAATGAGAATATTCCTGTTCTGACATAACTTCTAAACAATTCATAATATCAAATTAAGAAAGACAGCTCTTTCTTTCTTTCGGAAAAAGCCCCAACAAAATATCTGAGAATGTGGGTTTACATCTATGTGATCTTACCCAGAACACTTGACTACTTTGAGTCTCCATTTCCTCTTGGGTAAAGTGAAGATAACTCTGTCTTGGCTTCCTTATGGGGATGTTCTCAAGATGAATAGGATAATGCATGAATCCCCCAAAGCCCCGCAGCCTTATGCTTCATCCTCTCAGTACAGTCTTCTTAGGCAGGGCCCTGGGTAGACACAAAAGACATTTATTGATAAATAGTGGCAAAGGGTCACAAAAGGGAAATGCTAGGAAAATATGGAGCAACAGCTCTCCCTGCTGGTAGCTGCTACCAGGTGGCTTTCATTCTAGGATTGGCCGTGGGGAGTATCTGGCAGGAAGACTGGGGATGTAGAGCACAGAGGGGAGGATTCTGGAGCCTACACCCGTCCACAACTGCTTGCTTTTCTTTTTTTCTTTTGAGACGGAGTTTCGCTCTCGTTACCCAGGCGGGAGTGCAATGGCGTGATCTCGGCTCACCGCAACCTCCGCCTCCTGGGTTCAGGCAATTCTCCTGCCTCAGCCTCCTGAGTAGCTGGGATTACAGGCACACGCCACCATGCCCAGCTAATTTTTTGTATTTTTAGTAGAGACAGGGTTTCACCATGTTGACCAGGATGGTCTCAATCTCTTGACCTCGTGATCCACCCGCCTCGGCCTCCCAACGTGCTGGGATTACAGGCGTGAACCACTGCGCCTGGCCATTATTTGTTTGTTTTGAGACAGGGTCTTACTCTGTTACACAGGCTAGAGTGCAGTGGTGTGATCCTGACTCACTGCAGCCTTGAGTTCCTGGGCTCAAGCAATCCTCCCCGCTCAGCCTCCTGAGTAGCTGGGACTACAGATGTGGGTGGCCATGCTTGGCTAATTTTTTTATTTTTTGTAGAGATGGAGTCTTCACTATGTTGCCCAGGCTGGTCTGGAACTCCTGGACTCAACCAATCTTCCCACCTCGGCCGTCCCAAAGTGCTGGGATTACAGGCGTGAGCCTCTTCATCTTATTCATGAGGTTCACTCCCTCCTCGAAGTGCTGCTTTCCTAGGGGCACCCAGTACAGCACGCTCTCCTGACTTTCCTCCCGTCTGTGGCTGCTCCTTCTCTGTCTCTGTTATGGGGTGAATTAGATCCCCTCCACAAGCTAAGTTCACATCCGAACTCCCGGCACCTGTTAATGTGACCCTCTTTGGAAACAGGATCTTCACAGACGTAATGACGTTAAATGGAGGTCCTGTTGGATCTGGGTGGGCTCTCATCTGATGACTGGTGTCTTTATAAGAAGAGGAAGATTTGGAAGCAGACACACACGAAGGGCAGACAGCCATGTGGTGAAGAGACAGAGATTGCAGTGATGTGTCCACAAAACAAGGAATGCCAAAGATTGCTGGGACCACCAGAAGCTGGAGTGAGGCCGGGAAGGATCCTCCCCTAGAGCCATCAGAGGAAGCATATCCCTGCCAGCACCTTGATTTGCTGACTTCTGGCCTCTAGAAATGTGAGAGAATAAATTTCTGTTGTTTTCTGTCATGGAGTTTGTGGTACGTTGTTACTCTGGCCTTAGGGTGGATATAAGGCTCAGCCTGTGTTACCTGTGAATTTTCCCAAATGCTTAGTTCCAGACTTCTATTCGTTTCTCTATGTGTCTTCCCCGCTAGGCGACCTCCTCCACATCTCCCCTTCAGCCGCAGCTTCTCTCACCTGTACATCCTACCCATCTTTTAGAGCGCATCTCAGACCTTCCTCCCACAGGGAAGCCTTCTGCGGCAGATGCTGCTGCCCACCCACATCTCCTTGGCACGCCTCACTCCCAGTTCAGCTTCTTGCTGCAAGCTGCTCCTCTCTGCCCGAGTGCTTTCTCTGGCTGCAGGAGTGCGTGGGGGCAGAACAGAATGGCAGAGAGTTGACACCTCCAGGATCAGCCTCCAGCAACAATGGCTGGGAGTTGGAGAATATATAACCCAGCCTCCTCGCACCCCCGAGGTGACCTAGCCTGGCTCCTGGAGGCCCCGGGGGACTAAGCCACCCTTGCCTGCAGGTAATCTGCTCCCTAACTCTCCTGATACGGGTTTTCTTCTTTGTCTCACTTCTCCACCCTCCTAACTTGCTCCTGAGATTAGCCTGCTCATCCTCAAATCCTTATCTCGGGGTCAGCTTCTGGGGAAGTCTAACCAAGACACCTTAACTGAATTATCAGCCTGGGGCAGGTTCTCTGATCATGCTTTCTAACAGCCTGAGGAGCCTTGGCTGCACAGATGAGATTGCAGTTTACACGCACACATTTCTTTCTGTGATTATTTGAGTAACGTCTGTTTCTTGTGCTAGAGCAGGGGTTGACAAACAACAGCCACGAGGCCAAACCCAGCTGCAACGGCTCATTTCTGTATTGGCTATGGCTCCTTTTGAGCTGCAACTGCAGAGCTGAGTAGTTTCAACAAAGATCTTATGGCCTGCAAAGGAGAAGTATTTACTACCCGGTCCCTTATGGAAAAAGTGTATTGGTCCCTGTGGTAGGCCATATGCTTGTATCGGTTAGCTCTGGCTGCGTAAGAAACTACCCAAAACTGAATTTTATAAAACCACCACGGTGTATGTAGCTCACAATTCTATGAGCTGACTGGGTAGCTTTTCTGATCTAAGCCAAGTCAGCTGATTTCTGCTGCGTTCTCTAAAGTGTCTCTGGTCAACTAGTGGGTCATGTGGCAGCAATGACCGTAGGATGGCCTCACTCACGTTTTAGAAGGTGGTAGCTGTTAGCCAGTGAGACACTGGCAATTAGGCCATGTGTCTCTCACCATCCAGCTGGCTTCCCTGGGCTTTTTCACACAGTGGTGGCAGCAGGGAGTTCTATGAGTGGCCAGGCAGGACAGAGTACAAGCATTACCCAAGCCTCTGCTTGGGTGTATCGGCCAACCAACCATCGCTCAAAGCCAGTCACGTGGCTGAGTTTCGCATCAAAGTGGGATGGTATGGAGGGGAACCTGCTGAACCTGTGGCTGTTTTTACAATTCACCATGATGCTCTATGAGGGGCACAGACCCTGTGCGTGCTTGCCCACCATTCTATGTCAGTGAGTAAAGCACAGTGCCTGGCATAGAGCGGGTGCTGAATCAATATTCATTAAGTCAATGAATAGAATTTCACTGCGTTAATAAGAGTGACATTTTATTGAGCCTTTGCTCTTGAACTGGGGCGGTTTTCAGGCAGCCTAGGCTCACCGTCAGGAACTGGCCCTATATAACAAAGGCAATCTGAGGAATCCAAATTTGAAACCAGTTTGTTTAATTCTGTTAACAATTACCCCCCTCCTTTATTTCACGAGATGCTTTACATTTTTTGTCGTTTCAAATTTCTTCTTTTATCTTACTATTTTATTTTACTAATTTCATTTTAACATTGGGAGCAGGTGTTTCTCGCAGCTTCCCCAGCCCTTTCTCCTCGGTGGCCCAGAGGTCCTGCCAGCACCTCATAACCAACCTCCATTTCAGCGCCGAGTGGTATTTTTGACTTAAAAAGTTAGCTTGCGGGACAATCAACAGCCCCACACCTAAAATCACTGCTCTTGACAGCGCAGCAAAATTGAAGGCCAACATTTCACTCAAGAGGGCAGTAAATCAAGCCCCCACGGCAGCTGCTGAGAGGTGCTGAAACAGGCTGTTATCTCTCAGATCATTCAGGCCTTACCTGAGGGAATCCATGGATCAAAATTAAAAAAGTCTGCGGAGAACATAGTCCTCGATGTGACCACTGTTTATTCAGAGTTGAATAATTAATCAGCCCCACAGACTTTCCTTCAGCACTCACGGTGTTCCGGGCATTTTGCTACTCACGATGGGAGAACATAAGTGAACAGGAGCCCCTGCCGTCAAGATGCTCGTCTCAACAGACAATGGTTTGGCAAGATACTGAGTGTTGTGGTGGAGACGTGCCCGAGGAGTGCACAGGGTGTGGCAAGCTCGGTTTGGGTTGGAAGTTGAAGAGGAGAATGAGAAAGTCTCTTACACGGCCTTGGGAATCTAATTCAGGTTCCAACAAGGCTGGGCTTCCAAATGGTACAATGGGAGTAGTCAGCTTCATGGACTGAGACGACCATTTGCAGATTTGTTATTTCTGCCGCTTGTTATTTACGCAATTTTGGAAGAGATGACTTCTCTAAACCTTAATGTACTCATTCATGAAATGGGTGACAATAGTATCCATCTTAGAAGGTTTTTGTGTGGATTAAATTAAAATATATATAAATATGTCTTGTGCTTAGCACGATGTGGGGTACTGAGTCAAGGTTTGGCAAGTGACAGCTGTCATCAGCGGTTGAGGTCATAGTATTGCTGGTAGTAGCATTCTCAACTGTATTGACCATTCCTTCATTCATTTAACAAATATTTGTTAAGTGTCTGCCGTATCTCAGACCGTATGGGGGACAAAAAAATGACAAGAGGGATGTCAAGCCTTTGAAAGGCTTACTGTTTGGTGTAGAGAAGACACGTCTCTAAGTAGCTACCCTCCTGTCCAGCTCTAGGCTTGTACCCAGTGAGACGGGGCCTGGAATCCTCCTGCACATCTGGACCGCTTTCCCCGGAATACACACATTTGCTGTCTTGGGCCACTTCAAAGCTTTTTGATTTCGGATTTACCTCTCAGTTTTCTTTTTCTTTTTTTTTTTTTTTTGAGACGGAGTTTCGCTCTTGTTACCCAGGCTGGAGTGCAATGGCGCGATCTCGGCTCACCGCAACCTCCGCCTCCTGGGTTCAGGCAATTCTCCTGCTTCAGCCTCCTGAGTAGCTGGGATTACAGGCATGCGCCACCGTGCCCAGCTAATTTTTTGTGTTTTTAGTAGAGACGGGGTTTCACCATGTTGACCAGGATGGTCTCGATCTCTTGACCTCGTGATCCACCCGCCTCGGCCTCCCAAAGTGCTGGGATTACAGGCTTGAGCCACCGCGCCCGGCCTACGTCTCATTTTTCATTAGAGTTTCACTTTTGCCTCTCTGTCTTGGTGCTTGATACAACTCTATCGGTGCTGACCTCTGGCTTTCATTGTTGGCTAGGGCTGATATTTTCCCTTTGGATTATGTGCTCTAGGGCCACTCTAGGCAAACATCTTACCTGACCTAGCCTGAGCAGGAGCCTGATCCAAGTTTAGTCCTTAGGGGTCAACCAGATGGCAAATTGAAGGTAGTGATTGAAAAGCATCTCCAAGAAAAAAATGGAAAAGTGCTATGGGGAGCGCAAGGGAGAGCCAGCCTGGCCTGGACTTTACCACACTGGCTTGGTGGAGAGCAAGCAGCCAGCTCCTGTGCAGTAATTCATTTCTGTGCAATGCAGAGCCCCTCCTTGCAGCCTCACAGCTGACCTCATGTGACTGTGTGTATATATACTTCTTGTTAATTCATCCAGAGCCGTCAGTTGCTTGACTGTAACTTGACATCTCTAACAATCCATCAGCTTATTTATTAATTATAGCAAGCTGGTTTCAGCCACAGGAAATTAGAAATGAATTTTTCAATAAGCCGCATCTCCAGGGATAGTTCACAAAATCAAAAAGAAGACTACCTGGCCAATCTAATTCATTATCACAATCAAATAGTGTTAAATGGTTCTTTGTGGGATAAGTTTAAACTAGGAAATTGTATTAGCAGCTCTAATCGTTACTGATTATTTAATTATCGGCCATTTAAAAATCGTCTCCGGTTTTGAGATTATGGGTCAGATTGAGATTCACAGCATCCTTCTTTAGTTCACTCCACCCTGTAGCAGGATGCGTTGTAATGTTGCTGAGTGAGCACTGACCTTACCTCGATCCCCACCACAGTTCTTTCATTCCATGGCAACCTGGAGCAAAAAAAATACTAGCTAATGTTTATGGAGTGCTTATTACGTGCTGGGAACGTCTTTGAGTTCATAACTAAGAACTCATACATGCTCTTAGCACACATTGCGCTCGGTTATATTTATCAACTTAGTTGATCTTCATAAAATCCTACAGAGTAATCATATGACTCCCATTTTATGGGTAAGAAACCTGAGGCCCCAGGACATTTGATTGAAATGTTCACAGTGAACAAGCAGGAGAGCGAAACTCTGAGTCCAGCCAATCTGGCTCCAGAGCACTGCAGTTCCTACCTAACCACTAGGTCATTCTGCCTCTAATGCCTCCTCGCTTAGTGTTCGGTGCACGGAAAGTGCCTGATCCAGCCAACCACTGAAGTCCTCACCAGGTGGTAGGCTCTGCTGAAGACAGCATGGTGTCTTATTTACGTCTGTATCTATCCTTCGCCATTGCTAGCACTGAGCTTTGAATAATAGAAACTCAACTCTGTGTGTGTGTGTGTTTAATTGGAAGGGTAGACTGGGGTAGGGTGGTGGCAAAAAGAGTAAGATACAGATTTTACTAATTCCTAAAATAGCCTGAAGTCCAAAGATGTTACAATCTCCACTCAGAATCTTTGGGGGTAAACATACGAGTTTATCAGAACCAGGCTAAACCCTGCCTAGATGACTCCAGGTCTGAGAAATGAGGGCCTGGACAT